CCCAGTTGGCACTCCATCCATTGGACAGGGTAGGGCAGTTCTGGGCCCCGATCAAGCAGTTGCATGTACAAGCCCTTGTCATACCCGTCTGTTTAGGTAGCACTGCCGGAGACCTCACAGTACTTGCAAATGGGTAGTCCAGACAGGTGGGCATGTCCTTGGAGATAGGCTGTGGGGTGACCCCAAACTGCCTCTCCACCCAGGAGTAAATGGGTACCTGCGAGGGCAGACACAGTAATGTTTAGGCGTATGTGCAGAAATGGCAGCATCAGGCTAGTATACTTCCCATGGAGCTGAGATGGTTTCAGGAATGTCCAGATGATGTGTGAGCCCAATGTGCATGTCTGATGATAATACTGCGCCGCGGAATGGTTCACTAGATAGATGGCGCTTTTCAAGTGTTTGTTATTAATATTGTACACGTAGGTCCTTGGCAGGCAAGGGTTCTCAAATGGGTCTGGGATTCCTTTTATAGGCTGAGGTGACATACATGTACGGTAAGGTCATATCCGATACAGGCTTCCAGAGCTTTGGCCATGTCTATTATCGGCACGTCTCCATGTACACGTATTTCTTATTGAGTCAAGACATGGACCAAGTGCTAGACAACAGATTCAGATAGCTGGAGAAAATAAGCAGAGTCTTTGACTTCATTGATTTTTCAGAGGGGATTGGTGCTCAACAGATACACGTTTTGGAAATCAAGTTTGTAGAGATTTTTATGTGAGTTACTGTTTTGTATATTTAGCGTGGCTGTCCCAATCAGTGTCCATGTTCTTCGTCCACCGGGAATGGTCATGTGACTGAACTGCCTGTTATTTATTCTGGGCCCATTTAAATTAAACATCTATTTTTAGCCCTCTGCTGGATCATTAGGCATAATCAATTTATCAATTATTCTTAATTTTAAAATTATAGTCAATAATCGATAAATATGTATATTGGTTATGAAAAATCTGATATCGACAGGCTGCACACTGCTTACAATTCGCTGTGCAACTACATTTACATACATGTACATGTGGTGATATTGCAGTCAAGTCAGTTGCAAGCCTTTGCTCCCTGCGTGTCCATTATAAATCATTCGGTGGTAAGCCAGGTCACAGGCTGCTCAAATGAGCTGTGACAGAGCAGTATTTTTGTTGTTGCTTGACCTGCAAAGTCACGAATCGATTTGCGAACTAAGGGCTTGTGATGGACTTGACTACGATAATGCCACTAAGGATTTGTAATGAGAAGTTGTCTCCTTCCTGTGTGATTCCTGACTGCCTGTTCTAAAATCCTTTTCACGGTTTGCCTGTGGATTTTGTGGCTTCTAATGAATGTTTGACAAGGGCATTTTAATGCCAGAAAGCTCAGTTGAAAAAGCATTAATATAGTATTCTTGTGGTCCAGGATCCTACAATGGACAATGGCTTTATCCAACACGATACTGGAAACCAAGATCAGAGACTTTGCCTTCAAAAAACATGAAACTAGGATGGAAGCATTAACAATGTTTAAGACTGTTTAAATTTGGAAAGGTTTTCCAGACGAACATTATTTCAGACGAAGCCTATTATTATTCATTATACTTGTATAAGTATTGTACATTCTGGAAATGTCTAAAAGATATCCAGATAGTTTTGTGAATCTACTTTAGTGGGAAAAAGAAAGTTTGAATTTTTTCGATTGTTTTCAGTTGAGCGGGAAAGAAAGTCCAAGCTGAACCCGGGCCGGGTTGGAGCCAACTTTGACCACGCCTCACCGACCAACGAGGCGTGGCTGCCGTCGTTCGGCCGGGTCTGGAATGCCGGGCGCCGCTGGCAATCAAGGTACAGCACTGTGGTCAATTTCAGACTCAATCCTGAGCCCCCCCCCCCCTTTGTGAATTCCTCGCACTGAGTCGTTATGCTTGTAACCACACAGGGGGCCATAAGTCATACTATTTTTTCCCTCTTTTGAAGATATTTTAGATTTTTACTTTAATAGAGCAGGGGCCCTTATCAGTTCAGCTCTTTGGATGATTTTCGTTTCCTTTGTTTATGGTTAGACAGTCATTACCATTATTGTTTCTATTTCATTTTTTTCTTCACATTTTGTAAAGATTTAACACAAACATAGTAACTGGGGATGAAAAGCGACAAGGTACATGTACGTGTATATCAGATCAGGGAATGCCCACATACCAGCCTTGACTACCCTCAAATTTTTATCAATACGAGTGTTTCATAATAGTGCGCTTCCAAGAGTTTGTAACGCGTTAACCAATCAAAGCGCACGAAATTTGTCGGCCCAATACGTGTTTTGGAAATAGTCAACAAGTTTCGTGCGTTGTGATTGGCCAACCCATTGCAAACTCATGGAGGCACACTATTGTGAATCGTCTGTATTAAGCTATAAAAACTAATCACACTTTAAGGATGGTGGTGTTATCCCGGTATATGTAATACATGTATATTCGACACTTTAAATGAGAACATTTCGCCAATGGTGGTGGCATGCCTTCAACTAAACTTATTTTTCCATTCATAAAATAGTCGTTTAACCTGTTTGGATATTGAAATGCCTTATTTGTCAAAAAAAGATCCGGTTGTAAAAGAAAGCAGAGAGAAAACTTGTAGAACAAGTTTGGAACCTCTCATCCGCTCAGCCGTGAGTCCTCCTCACTAACGCTGAGTCAGGCAGGCAAACCACTGCATTCCAGCTTGTTTTTTGCGGCTGTGGTGTTCATTACGGCACTTAACACTGTACATTCTGCATCCGGTGTCGCACATGTTTCACTTTTATTTTGGTACCAAATTCTACGAAAGCCCTATGGTGCCACATCAAGTATATATTTCCAAAATGTGAAGTGTATTTTTCGAAACTCCCCTTCTATGAAGTACATTTCTTGCAGCTTCCTTTTTAGGAGGGATTTTTTTTCTCAAATTTGTTTGTAGGAGATTTTTTTTCCAGTTCGTTCTAAGATCTATTTTTCGATACATTGTTTCTCTTTTTGAAACAAATCGTTTTGCATGTTCAATTTTGCAAGATATTTCCGAAGTTACTTTTCAAAAGATGTTTATTTTCCTGTTTGATTTTATATCTCAGAAACACAAAAGTCCAAAAATGTAACACATAAAAACAAACTCCAAAAAATGTATCTCAGAGAGACAAATTTGAAAAACATATCTAGAAAAAACAACTTGTTTCCAAAAATAGAAACACTGTTTCTCAATGTTGATCTAATTAGAAATTACTGTAGAGTATATATCTTGTGCAAACGAACTTTGGAAGAAATATGTCTCTTAAAAGCAAAGTCGGAAAATTATATCTCTTGAAAAAGGACTTTTTGGAAATATGTACTTGATGGCACTTTGGGCTTTCATAAAATCAACTATTTGTACAACGTATGAAGCCGTTACTGAAATGAGAGCCCTCCTATAAGTGCAACCACGTGCAACAGTAGGGTTTGTCAAATCGCCAAGCGATGGTTCGGTTTATTCACTTGTCCACCTATGTTTAAGACCAAATCCAACTTGTGCAAGATTTACTGATTGATTTGGGTCATATTTAGCCAGGTTGCGGATGATGGTCCATAGAGAAACTCTCATTGGAACACGTACGAATTGAGCAGAAGCAGCCCAACATTAGATGGTTTTCCCCTTTTTTTTCTCCCCCTTTTACTTCTGCAGGCGCCAGTACAGAAAAGAAGCGGGCCAGTTCAAGCCTTGTGAGGAAAAGAACGTTGGATGCTCCGCTAAAGATTCCAAACTTCCCTAACTTGTAAAATGGGGGACATTCACAGTGGGTGACCCACTGTTGAAGAAAAATGAGTTGCCTTTCGCCTCTTTGTACTTTATTGTTGTATCCATGCTCAAGAAATTCACACGATAGAGGGATACTCACAACAACCGAAGGAAACGTTGCAAAATGTGCCAATACTTGCAAGAAGAAGATTAAAAGTGACAGTAAACACATGGGGTAACTTTGGGCCATTTTATACATGTAGAGTAACATTTCTTTCTCAAACACAGTTTCAATTTCCTTCTCCCATAAAAGAGCATTGTGATACTCATCCAAAGGTTGATGCCACACATACATGTATGCACTGTGTATATAGAACTGCCTTATACTGACACTCCAGATGAATCCCAAGCTGCTCTCATCTGTTACTTTCTTCAAGCGCCATTTTATAGTGTATGTACAGAAATGTATTGTTCGCACAATGCAGCCGCACGGGTACTCTATACGTTGTGTAGTCGGCCTCACACACTGCGCAATTGTTGTCATCATGGGACGGTGTACGTGTACCAGCACTTGAACTTTGACCTGGGTGGTTAGGATCTTAATTCTGTTTATCAGCAGACGGACAGTCCTCTAATCTCGATGGGGCCGTGCACCAAGTAGTTTCTTCTTTTCACGCTTCTGTTTTGGGGCATCCTTTTAGAAATTCAATTAACGGCTCATCCAGCACACTTCCAATTTCCTCAGCATCAGCCACATCTCCACTGACATCAGGAAGATTCTACAGGATTTCCTCAAGACTGAATGGGCTCAGTCCTGCGTCTCGGAAGGCCGACTTCAAATTCTTGGACACATTTGGATGCATTCACCTCCAAAGTTGAGACGACCAGGAGGGGAAGCTGCTCTTTTGGAACGGCAGCCTGACGCCGTGTTGATCTTCTCCAAGTGTCTAGGATGTCACGCCAGATCATCTTTATGGGTCGGAAGATGGCAGCATACACATTTTAAGGCTGGGTCATGTGCTTGGAATTCGGGGGTAGGCGGTGAAGTAGACATCATTAGCTACAGCTACTGCAACAACATCTGGAGAAAAATGTGACGTCAAGTTGTGATCAACCAGAACCTTCTGTCCCGGTGACCTAATGGCATGAGTAAGAAAACCTCCCAAAAAACCCTCCGATGGAATGTATCCATGTACTTGTCTATGTCGACCAGCTGTTCTTCCTTGCATCATACATGTACTTTTTCATTGGTACCACTGGGGGCATTCTCTGTCCATCCCTCGTACCAGTTCTTGACCTTGTACACCACAAAATAATGGGGCAAAAGCTCTCCTGTGGTTCCCACAAACCATGATGAAGCTAGCCATCTTGGAGTGTTCTAAGGCTTGTACTCTCTCTACCCGCGGCATCCCTCTCGATGCAAGATCTTTCTTTGCGCCAGGATCAACGGTTACTTTTGTCTCGTCGTAATTGTAGACATTACTGGGCTCAATGACGGTCAGCACATCCTGTAGATTCTTGGAATAGTTCTCTACTTTTTCCTTGCCGACTCTTGCTTTGGAGCTCTTGATGTTGCCAGGTGTCCGGAAACTCAAGTTCTTCTCTACAAGTAAATGCATAAACTTTCGTTGAATGTTCTTTAATCATCGCTCCTGTCTTCCCCTTTCTTCAAGGTAAAGACTTGATTTTGACATCGTGTTGTGTCAGGGCATGACCCTATTTCGAAACTTCTACTAAGATCGTGACCAGAACACATTTCCTCGACAGAAGGAACGATTGGCTGTTCAACTTTCCTGGTGTATTTCTGTTTTATTCTTTTTTGCAGTGTTTTCTTTAGGGGTGCCATTGTACGTTTCCAGTCCATAATTGCTCTCGGAGGTTTCCTCCGGGCACTTCGGTTTCCTCTTGCGTCTAAAACTGGATCTTCTTCCTAACTCCGTTATGTGATGCTGAAGTGTATGAATAAACGTACAGTTATTGGCGCAAATAGCCCGAGTTGCTGAAAGCACCATTAAAACTAAAACAACAACAACCTTTGTAAGTACGTGAAGGCTAAAAGGAATTTGACACAAAACCTAGAGTGGGGAACTTGAAGTAACCCAACTTGTTACAATACTGAAGAATGCTGGCATTGAATCATGCATGCCGCTACGATTGGCTTGGTAATATACATGCACATGTAGCCTTTACACCAACACCACAGGCATGCCAGGCATGAATTTTCAATTTGTATTCTACCACTCTCCAAGCTTCTGTGTTAATAGGAAATTATCAAACCACCAATCCTGCATTTCGTACATAAACTATCAGGCCTAAAGCTGCACAATTAGTTGAAAAGCTATACACTTTAAGATTGTCTACTTCCGGGTTTACTTTCTTTGAAACGATCGCGACACAGAGTATCTTCACTCATTTACAATTCTGGTTCGTGTAGAAAGCATGCATGGAGGTAGGAAAAGATTCATGCAATACTACATTGTACAGTGTACTTAAGCCACCACGACACACTTAGTTATAATTGTCATTTATTTCTTACATTTACAGTTGCCAAACCTCGAAATAAGGCCCACATACTATTCTGAATCATGTACATGTACACAATCATGCCACTATACCAGAACAATATTGATATTTTAGAACAGATGGCATGCGATCATTTTTGGAGCGCTTGATTTCATGAACTCGATAGAAGAGACGCTACAAACAAGTGATCTGCGACATTTGACCCCTGTTGACCCTCTCTGGCCTTTCAGGCATGTTCTAAAGCAGTCAGTTTTTGTTTATTCTCAAGATTTTCATTAAAAACTCTTTTTGTCACCCAAACGCTTGGTTTTGGGGACTGTTTTTTTTTAGGGATGCTTAACATCATAAATGAATTGTAAAATGATGCATAACCCTGATTATTTTGTGAAAATAAAATGATACCCAAAACGCCCCAATCCGCTGCACATTGAACAAAATAAAGGGCCAATTGTTTCACGCAGATCTGGATCGTGATCAGTGATTTGTCGTTGGTTCACTGACATCAGAACCCGCCTCATGCATGGATAGCGTGAACCAGCTCTGGGATCACTGATCGAGATCTGGATCCCTGTGGAACAAACAAGCCCCTCGGCGTTTGAAACCCTCCAGTAGTTACTGACTTCAGTTACCCTGCTGACCAGGTTTGCTCCATGTTGCACGCATACAACCATGCGTCCATTGCGTTGGCCCATTCGAGTGAAGTTGTAAACGAAACCACTTGTAGTTTGCTGTGCACGTGTGAGATGTTTCGATCGTGTGTGCTCTGACAATTGTCCATTGCGTGGGCCCATTCGAGTAAGGAGTTGTAAACGAAACCACTGTACTTTCCTGTGCGCATGTTGAGACGTTTCGGTTGTGTGTGTTCTGACATTGTGGTTTGTCTTCGGGTTGTTTCTCGGGCGAGAACTGGCTGAATATTATGTTATTGAATTGCAGTGTGGAAGATGGCTCATCTTGTCGCTGTCATTGCCCGTCTGTGCCTGAATAATAATTCAGGCAAACGATTCAAATTAAATCTAACGTAAACATGTAGAACCCGCAAAACAGACTTAAAAACAAGCAATGGTTTATATGTATCTAAATAAAAAACAAAATATGTTTCATATACGTATGTGAATTGCATGTATTAACTGCGACAGCGTAATGGTGTGACACTGACAAAATGATATAATTAAACCAGACTATGCAATTAATGCCTCTGTGAACATGTAAACATCGACAAAATAGGCCTCAGTGCATTCTGCAGTTTGGATTCCTTGCATGTAAAGTCATTTAGTTCAGTAACACGACCAAATGGTCCGGTGCAAGTTTCATGTACCAAGCACTGCATTTAGTACATAGCTACCGATCTCACTATCACTCTCGTCATTTCCATAAACCCTCCACAGCGACCTGGGCTATTGCGATCACGTGTTGTCTACGGTTTGCCCTAATCCAAGTACTTGCTTGTCACACTTTGCTTTCTTGTTCTGCAGTGCCTCAATTTTCTTCTGTTTCTTTTCCTTCAGTCCTTGTTCTTTCTCATCATTCTCTTTTTCACGCCGTTTTCTCTTTTTGTGCCGCTCCACTTTTGCAGCTGCCTCTCTCTCCTGTTGTTCGTCAACTTCTTGAAAGTATATCTCGTCTGAAGTCAAGCATCGTGGTGCTGTCACTCCGCAGATATGTTTGTGATCTCTTATGATCTTTGAGATGACTGGTTTCTTTAGACCATCTTAAGATCATCTCTGGCTGGAGTTGCAGTTGGAGGAAGGAGTGCAGATGACAGATTAGGATTCGGTTCTAAGTCCATGGGCTTGGTTTGTGATCCTACAAGTGTGGGCTCTCCTGGAAGGTCTGTTGCATTCTGCATACATGCAGTATAGCATTTGGTGTTTCTGCTGGTTTGTCCGACGAAGCTGACATTTTGATCTGAAGATGGTGGCTGCTGATTAACCTCCCGCTTCGACATTGGAGACCACAGGCAAAGTGACACCAGGCTCAACCTGGACAGGCTTCTTAGCTTCATATATTTCAACTCTGTCTGCACTACTTAGAAGGACAAGTGCTCGACTGTGATGGCCTCAGGGGCGAATGGATAAATCCTTGTGGATCAGAACTCACTGGTGACGTTTGCCGTTGTGAAGACTTTATAGTAGACATACTTGAAGAGAGGTGAAATCATATCGTGTGATGATCCAAGTTGGGTGGTCATGCATAAATTTCTCACAATCTTGGTTGTAGGCACACTTCAATGACTTGAACACTGACCTGTCGAGTGGCTGGATATGTTTCGTTATATGAGGTGGTAGACAGTACATATGACTCGAGCTTTTACGGGCAAACGTGTGTGTTGAGATAAAGAATTAGAAGAACTGGGCGTGTCGGTGGAATAGATGGCACAAGGAGCTTCCTGAACCACATCTCAAATGGCTTTCACTCACCTGATTGTGCGTTTGCAGTTAGGCCTGAATTCGAGCGCTTGATAAAGGGAAGGATGCTGCCTTGCGCTTGGGGGCAGAAGAGCAACAATTCCCCCTCTTTTTCCATTCGCTCGTGCCTGCACTGTGTTTCCCCTTTTGTTGCAATAATGCTGGATAGAGTGTGAACCAGACTCGAACTTGTTTTTTCAACGTTGTATAGTTGCGCTGAGGTAGACTTCATACTAAATCTGTCCAGGAGTCTACCACAGCTCTTTTGGCTTGCTAAAAATGATCTGTGATAGTTGTAGGATTAAGTATGGACGTTCGTGCAGCGGATAGACCCTAAGGCTTCCTCAGAGACAGGTCAGGGTGGCAGCGCACAAAACCTGGCTACCAGTCGTACGCTACATTCTGTTTGGCCTGACTGAAGCAGTGCTTCAGTCCAGCATGCTGTATGCCATCTCACATGCCAGCTTGCAGATAGCTTCCACACACCTGCAAAGTCTTAATTGGCTGGCCACATCTTGGACGCAGCTAACAAATTGATTTCATCATCGACACTAAAAACTGGAGGTGGTGTTGCAAGCAAGGTACTTGGAATTCCATGTTTCAGCCTCCATGCCGGGACGGATTTTGGAATGAAAGATTGCTTGGCTGCCTCTCAGACTCCAAGTTTCCGTTTGCTTACAGCTTTACTTGTAGAAGCCATTGACTCAGATTTCCACTTCCACCTTCCCTGCTTTGGAGTCCAAATGAAACAAAGCCCAAACAATTAATGCAGGAAAAAAATTGAAATGCTCCCATGACATAAACCGAAAGCTGTCTGTGATCAGGGTGAAGTATTCCTCCAAGTGAACTATCCACCTCAAATATCCAGGAAAATTCATCTTTTTCGTCCAAAACAGTACTCAATCCTAAGCCTTTTTCGTTTTTAAAACAAAAGATTTATATTAATTTTGCGTTTGGATCGATAGTACGAATAACGGGCTTAGAATTTTTTTAGAAAGTCGTTTTCTGTCGTACGGTCAAATATTCACAAATGTATCAACCTTACCAGTACGGAAGGAGGAACGACGTGCGTTATATACATATTAGGTTTAAAAAGTGTACAGTGGGCCTACGTATTTTATGTGTCCTGGCTTACTATGCATATGACGCACTTCCTTCTACGTGGCCTCCTTTTCCGTCTACCTTATTACTGACCACGTTGATCTATATATATGTTTGTTTGCACTCAGAAGGTCTTTACTCAAATAAAGGTGGAAAAATACAAGGAAATACGCAGCTTTGTTCCCCTAAATTTGAAACTTACCCCAATGGTCTAGCTCCTTGACGTTGAGGGAGATGCGATGTGGAGGAATGCTGCACCATACCACTGAGGACTTTGACGCGGTCGAGGCATCATGTGGTGTCAGTGAGGAGCCTTGTCATAAATTCCATGCGCATTGGCGAATCCGGGCGAGAAACGGGGTTCAGTGTTGTTGGGGGGTAGTTTAAAGTGTAACGAGAGAAGGGCGATTTTGGCGAGACTATATCGTTTGCTTTCAATCCCCCTAAAAGTGTAAAACCTGAATGTAGTCTCGCCCCTCAGGCCATTGCATTTCACATAAGGAATCTTTTACTATTTCCCACGAAAGCATTTAAGATCCACCCTCGTTCGTGTGAAGGAAGCATACTGATCAGGGTGCTAACACCTTGAATGTCCTGCGCTGGCACCCCTATTATAAACGTGATTTTAAATTATATAATTTATGATGAGCTTCTTGCATTCAAGAAAGCACATTTCAAGATGAATACGTATTTTGTTCTTGACCTACATGTATATGTAACTGTAACGCTGGTGGGTTTTTCCACTGAAAGAGATGTACAGATTAAAGTTCGTTAACTTCGTTAACCGGTGAAGAGTGACGTAAGGCCTTTAAATATCTACGGCGTGCAGGCCTTTTATAAGGACCATAGGTGTGAGAAGAAGACTCACTTTCGTTCGTCGCTGAGGTTGCATCCGACCAGTTTCGTAAGGGCTCTACAAAAGGGATCCCTCCAGCGCCATGGGTAAGCTTCCTTTTGTGATTTCAAAATATTAATTAAAAAAAATGAAATCATGCTGAAGTTGCCCCCGGCTATTCAAGGGGCTCAGAACTAGTGCATATTATTTCTGCCTACAAAGCGTACATTATTCTGTAAGCGTTTCACCAGGCCTACGTTAGTCTGAGTGTCCAGCCCCTATTTGGAGTCGGACCCCCTGCACAATGTTGCACACAAAAGAACAGTTTCCCATTTCCGTTGAAAATTGATTAGTATATTATTTACGAAAATGTGTAGGCCCACATTGTGATTGTAAATAAAACAAAGTTTGGCCCTGAAAAATGTATGCCTGTATCCCACTGGGCAGGTTTAGACAATTTCCCGAAATAATTAAATACGAATAAATGTTACACTACAATTTGATAGCTTATAAGTTGCACATGTTGCATAAGCCGAATATATTTTTTAAATTGTTTCATTAAATCTACTGAACCCCCCCATCATCGGTGTGGACTGCTCAGTAGACAGGTTTGAACAAGAATTTGGAAAGATATAGTGCGTCTTCTAAAATGATGTGTGCTAATTTTCATACTTAATTTTTTGAAAGTGCTCAAGGGCGACAAAGGGGCACTGTCAGAGATCCACATGGTTCAAAATTTATGGCAGATCCCAGTGCACAGTTCGGCAGTCGTGCATCCGCCAGACTATGTCCGAAATCATTACCAAGTTTTTTTAGTCCTTCATTACACTTTAGCATGTTTGGAAGTATACCGAGAGCGAATGTTGGCGGCGGGGATATTGCCCAGATCACGCCAAAGTTTCTTGGGAGTATATATGAACAGTTTTTGAATCGAGAATCATCGAGATGAGTGTGGGAACATTAACTGTCAAAATTCACAGAATCGCAGGAATCCTCGCTTCACAAAATGCATAAATTTTGAAGGTGCCAGTATGCACGAATCGGCGCAACATGTACTGTTTAAACTCATCTTTTGTAATGGCTATTCACAAAATTCTAAGATTTTTAATAACCATTCCTATTGCTCGAGGGCCCGTCACGCGGCCAGTCTTTAAAGGTTGATAAACAGCAATCAACAAAATCACAACACTACAACATACAAGTCTAGAACTACGCTACACTGCATTCGACAGTTACGGGTGAGGTCACTGTTTTGAAATGTATCTAAGCACATGCATGTTACTCAAAAACACTCCATAAACGGTGTGTGAAATTAAACAAAATCTCGCTTTCACTCTGTTAACGTGGTTCCTAAACATCAACAGCTGAACACTCTCGACTACGTTGATATGTTTAGCATTAAACACTTTCAATCTCACAGCAAAAGCTATTTAGAGAAGTGTTCATCGGCCTGACACATTTTTTTTGCTGTGAAGTTAAATTGTCCTCGAAGTGGATGTTAAATTTAAAGAAATTTATGGGAATAGAACAACTGTATTCAAAACGATTTTTAAATGTAACATAAAATATTCAGAAGTAACAAATGTAGTCTTATTGCCTAAGCATGAGCAGTTGTTAACAAGCGGTGTTTAATGTAACATCGGTCGAACGATTCAGGTGTTAACAAAATTTTTAACTTTCTTGCTGAAAGACTCTCTAGATTACCAATGGCAACAGCGCCCGCTTTGGTCTGGCCAATGGTCCCGTTCCTGTGTCTTTTAAATCATCTCATTGTAGAGATTTGTAGAGGCAAAAACGGGTGGGCAGTAGCCCATGAACATCGTTAGGAAACACGGGCACGTAAAATGGCGTCACAACAAAGACTGCGTGTACAAATATTTCGGAAATATTGCCGAATTTCACCGAAAGGTGTTCGTCAATGGGAATAAACCGCTAGGCCAAAGACCGGCTGGGCTTTGAAAGCTGATGATAACCATCTACTTTGGCTTGGGTCTTTTTCAGATTCCAAAGCCAAGCTCAATGATTGACACACTTTTTAAGACAGGCTGAGCATCTACTGCCCTGATGTCTTTCTGACTTAGCTTAATACTTTTACTTCCTGAAGCATAGACCTGTAAAGAGCAGTTAAAACTACGCGTGCTTTAACTTATGAAAGTATTGTATCAACAACGAAAGCCAAACCTCGTCTATTTTAAATGAGAGAAAAACACTTCAATATAAATGACACGAGCAATCAACAATGAAAAAGCTCGGAGGACTATGTTTGGATATCAGATTTGGTGTACATTACACTGTTGCCGTGAAGGTTTCAGATTCGTGTCTGGAAACCAAGCACACCAACCAAGTGAAGCGAAAGCCTTGTGGAACCATCACAAACAAAAAGTTGCTACAGCAGAATTTGTTGAGAACCAAACTTGCTAGGCGAACCTGTGCCTTTTGTAAAGGTCGTCGTTGTCGCTTGTAGAAATGGCTCTTTGTATTTGTATCCATGTCATGACATTTGTCAGCGGTGTTGTCGCTTGATTGCATAGTTATGATCTGCCGTTGCCTTTGTTATTGCTTATGGAGATGTTTGGCAGTGCATTTACTGGGCACTGGCATTGTCCAATCGATTTTTATCCTGAAGGTAGAAAAAGGAAGGAAATGTGCAAGAAAAGAATATGAAAGTGTATCCTGCCTGAAGCCCTTAGTTTTACTTTCTCTGCATGTTCTTTCCCCCATATCCTGTTCAAGAAGAGTTTCCCGAATCAAAGTGCACAAATGACGTTCGAGTGTAAACCTGCATCGTACTATCGGTATTTATTGCATACCTTTATCTGCCTCAGTTTTACAGTATTTTGGACCATCGGCTTGTTTTCGCTGTAAAACCCATATTTCATTCTTTCATGCCTTCACAAGGTCATTAACGCACGGTCGAAATTGGAAACAAACAGTCCTTCAACTAACACTATCCTTTAAAAGAGCACAGCAGACTGTCGATTTTTATTTTTCTTGTCATCTTGTTGGGGGACTTGTCAATGTCTCTTATTGTTTCGATTTCTTGCTGTTTGGCAGTTATGGATCAAATAATTTTAATTGCTGAAATTCTAACATACAGAGTACAATGGGGAATTGGGAGAATCTTAAAATCGAAAATAGCGCCAGCTTTCACCACACAAGGGAATTATATGGATATATCTTGTGTGCTTTTAATTCCAAAATAACTTCGTTTCTCCAATCAAATTTACTGTTAAGAATCTCTGTAGTCACACCTGAAGAGATGTTTACGTGGTTCAAACATTTTGTCAACGGTAGACCCAGAACCAATTATCGGGAGGACCAAACATGTGGGGGGGGGCTAAATTTATTTTCATCTAACCTTTTGTGGAGGGGTTGGCCGTCTTCCAGCGGGTGTGGGGTTGCTGTCTGGTGGGAAGACTTCGCTCCAGGGCGCTTGGAGGGAGACACGAAGGTCGGAGTCGGAGAGCAAGGGGATTGGTGGAACTCCCAAGAACTAACAGCCTTCACTTTCAAAACAGTGCTTATGCCAGGGTCAGAGACCCTGCCTGTGGAAATTGGGCAGGCACTCAGTTTTAACTCACAATTAATTGCATTAAAGACTTACAATTTGTGGAAAATTGGGAAGAATGGAAGATACACTTACTAAACATGGTCCACTAAAACCTAAAATGCGACTTCAGTGCCTACATTGAGCATCGAGGAACAAACACAAGTCGGCCCTATCCAGGCCAGCCCTGGCCGCTGGCTGACCAAAACCTTTACACACTACCATTCATTAGATACATTCAAATGTCCCTTAATGCACAATAGAGCCTACATTCCTTAACCTGCAGCGCAGTGTTGTAGTCGAGTCCAACACAAGTCAGTCGCAAGTCTCTGCACAAGGCTAGGCATTAGTAACAGTGTTGTAGCAACCAGTACTTGTACTCGGCTGGCAAAGTACTCGACCTGTTTTTGTACTCGGCAGTCAAAGTACTCGGCAGTACTTGGTACTCGGTAAAAGTACTCGACTACAATACTAATTTAGTAACACGGTGGACAATGACAAAGGAATGCTTTTGTCACAGCTCATTTGAATAGTTTGTGAATGGACTCGAATACAACACTGCTACAGAGACATCCTTTTTCAACAGAAACAAAAATAGTTGACAACCCTCGTTAAACAGTTATCCACTTCCAGTAGAATAGTTCCTCACTTCCAATAAAACTTTAAGACAAGTGTAAAACACAATTTATCTCTCACTATTCCTTCGCCTGTGCAGTCAAACTGCGCGCGGCCACGCCACGTTTGCTACCGATACATGGGCCACAAAATCCTACAGCCATTCACTGCAGTACTCCATAAATCAACTTCCAAGTACCACCTTTAAAAGTTCTTCATCTTTTCCAATCTGCCTTCAAACTACTCTATAATCACGAGCGGATAAAAGGAATTGAATAAACATTTACAAATATTCAATTAAGGGGTGAAATAAAGCAATGCGAAATACAACCAAAACTGTAAACAGTAAACTGTGGAAACTGGGCAGGCATTGCCGTACAGCCCACGCTGCCTAGGAGAAATATATATAACAAATACAATACATGTCTGGTAAACAATTCAGCTCAGTGAGCAGGGTTGGGAGCTTTGACTACGGGAATTTTGGACAGCCATATATAAAATTTCATACCATCACGAACTACACGCACAAAATTCAAATAAGTGAAGATCGTTTGTTGTGTGTCACCTCAAGTGAGTTTTTTGGTTAACTCCAGTAGAGACGGCACTGCAGTTGTACAATTGAGCACGATGTATACATGTTTATTATACCAGAGATAATCGACAAAAAATCAAAGCAAGTATAATACATGTATATTGAAAATCTTTAAATGGGTAAATACTAAATCACAAAATTGTATTCTCAATTTCATCACATGGAACCTCCCTACACTTTTATTGCCATGCTTCGGTGTAAGGGGCCTTTCGTCGAGGAAAGGATACATTAATAGGTTTTAGCACGCGTATAATTTTCAGGGAGATGGCAATATGTGATCAAGCAAAAAATAGTCCCTCTTAGTTTTTAAGGAGAGGCAATGCCCCTGTTCCTCTCTCCAAGTATCTGCCCTTGAGTTCAGTATTGCATATTTTCTTGTTCTGGAATTTTTGTGTGATCTATCGTTTACATCCCGCTAGTCCGATGCCCTGATATTGATTGGATTGGATGGGGTTGGATTTATTTGGTATTACCCCATAGCAGAGATACAATGACAAAAAAATTAAAATACAAAAATACTATGAACTAGAATTGCACAATAGGCACAAATATTAGGTAATACCAGGGATAGCCCATGAAAGTTGTGCAATATTTCCAATGGAGTCCCTATTATTGCACTAAAACAGATATAAAAATTAATGGAAAAATTAAAAACAAACCAAGGACAACCAAAATATGACAACAGTGACTGCGAATTCTTTATTCTTGAATGATATTAGTCTTTCTTAATTACCTGTTAAGCTGGTTCATTGGTTTAACCTTTTTCTCTCTTGCTACAGGACTTTCACCAATTTGGCTTCTCGCCATCCTTTCACTGGGCTGTGATCATGGTGAGTTCAAGTAACATGTGTTTGGACAGTATAACTAGAACGTCTAAGAAGAGGACATATTTATTGACATCATTATTTGATTGATCGTTAGCGCCTTGATCATTTTGAGCTACAGTGGGCTATGGAACGGATACAAATCAGCCCGTGGATTCCACAGAATGTGTTATTGCCAGGCCGTCGTAGTAACTCGAACGTTGTGCCGTTCGCCATTGGCCATATAGCAGTGTCTTCGCTTATAGTCGTCTGCGTTTATACGTCGCGGATAATCAAGACATTTCCCCAGATTAGGTAATAATTTCACAATATTGACATATTAACTAAATAATGCTATAAGGTTCATTAAAGATGGGGAAATTCCATAATTCCAATGCACAATCGTGCCTTTGGCAGGTTCGCGTGGTAATTGAAATGAGTTAAGTGGATATTTTTTAAAAATCCATGTTTTGTATAGGAATTTCATGAAGCCAATATCTAACGAAAATGCATACCGGTACCGCCTTTTTCTTCATAAAGTAATCTGATAGAAAACTGACCACGTTATTAAAAGCACACATCATTTTCGTCACAATGATTCGACGGGCACCGGTACTCTCGCAGGTTGTCCTAGAGGTTCTCTTCGAAGCATCCATTATCCTTCTTGAGTTATGGCTAACGTAATGGGAGGGAGCTTTTTAGATTGAGTAATATCTTTTGCTTTTGGGAGAGCTGTATAAGCCAGGAACTCTGTGCGTGATGCCACCACCCGCCTAGCTCCAATCGAGTGCCCATGTACAAATACCCAAGTACAACTCATCGTCGTGCTTTTAATACATTGAGAGGTTCTTTGGTCTTGGACTCACTCTGCACCGCTTTTCCTTCAATTGAAAAAAATATTTAGTGAAGAAACACAAGGTTGGAAAAAGCGGTTTCGAAGGGAATCGAACACCGGACCGTAAGATCTGTCCAACTCGCTATCTGCTAAATTTTATTCCGTCACAGCAATTCATTGCCAAAGCGAGATCCAGTTGACGTTCAAATGGTGTAGTGTAGAATTTATTAGGGTTTGATGGTGTCGATATTTTTTTTCTCTCTCTCGCTCATTCATTTTGGCTTTATCATGTGCGTCATTACAAATTTCCATCGCAAGTATATTTATGTGGGGTATATCTTCAGGAAAACCCTTAAGTATGTTGAAAATATTTCTCCCTGGCACAAATCCATCTTTGAAATAGTTGTTCGCGGTACCCGCTACTACAGCTGATTCGAACCAGCCAGCCGACACCGGCAAGCTCGGTGGTCGAGTGGTTAAGACGTCTGCACCAGTAAGCAGGAGGTCGTGGGTTCCAGTCCCACCCGAGTACGCTTGTGGTTTTTTTTCACAAGTCTTTGGGGGCATACACTGAGTATACAGTGTTAAAATAAAGTACACGTCGGGCAGGGCAGAATATCCAAAATTAGTTCATGCTGTACTCTATGTTGGCGACACGCGGTGCGGCGTCTCCATGTGAGATTACGGCATGCACAAGTATCGAACACTGGCTTTTCACCGCTGACTCTTTAGATCAAAATGCGAAGCCGTAGTCGCAGTAGATAGGATCGGATTATGGCTACCCCTGTCACGCGCCGCTCCATACAATCCCATGTATTAACTAAATTGATACACCAGCAGTGCTGGGTGAACGTACGTGTATACCTCGTGATTCGGGGCAGGCAAACAACAAATCAAGCTGTTCGTCAATATATGAGACCAAGCTGTCCGAATTCAGCCATACACATCGCAGTGCGTACTCGGTGTGCTCCGCGTCAAACGCGCATGAACTTGCGCGCCTATGCGGTGAGTTCTCATACCAAAGGACAGTCAATTTCATTTAAAAGGCCCTCTTTTATGGAGCTCGGAGCGGATACTAGTAACAAAAACATGCACTGAGGCCATGAATAGCGGGGTTCGCTTGTATTGGGAGAAGCATCAGATTCACAAAATGACTCCCTTAGGTCTGAAAAATAAATGCATGTACCTGTGGCAGGCTCATTCAAGCTCAAAGCGCGAGGTGGTTGCGAGGTAGAACTGTTGAGAACGCCTTTTTGCTCGGAGAATGAAACGTCGCGTTACGCTTTTTCCTCGAGCTGACAAAGCAAAAAGGCGACATTAGGACAGCAAACCTTACGGGCATGTCATCGCTTATATCCATCTTTTCTGATAATGATGTGAATTTCTCAACAGCGCTATAGAATGAAAATTAAGTTAAGGTCAAATCGCTCGCAACATTGGGGAGGTGGTATTGGTTGTGGTCGGGTAAGGTATATTTCGATTTCAAATTGGATCAGTGACCCCATAAAAGATACAGGTGTGTCTGTTTTTGATTGCCACTGTGCACACCGAAATTAGCGAACAGTAATCGTTTGGGGCCGCCGTGTGTCTTAGGAACGAGGTGGTTTACTGCCCCAACAAAAATCTTGCAACGGTCGGGCTCAACCATCTGGCTACTTTCTTAGAGACGAGGTTAAAGAAGGACGATTTTTTAATTTGCGAGGAGAGTACCCCTGCTCCCACCTGACTCCATATATTAAACTTTGCTTGTTCTCTTTTAATGCTGCGTATAACTCAGGTATGCGCCTGATTTTGAGAAGCCTTTGGAGCGGCAAATGAATTGCACCCAACAGTGGTGTCAGGCCTCTCTGAATATTCATATTGTTTTTGCGTGATGACAAAACGAATACCGGAGACATTTTCAAACTTGGTGACAAAAGAAAGGCGGGTTTCTTTGGGTTGTATTATTTCTTTTCCTTTATGAAGGTTACGTGAAAAATCTTCCAACGTTCCCCAAAGCCCCCCCCCTTAAAGATTTTATTCCGGATCCGCCCTTGCAGCGGATAAGTGATGTCAGAAAGTAATGCTCCCTTTTCAGCCGTTGCCTTGAAATGTTACGACTGTGTGGATTTTTACACCCGAGAAAAAGAAAGCAACCCTGACTGCAGATCGAACACCGACCGCCTAACTCCTGTTGAATGTCAGCGCCCAGAAAACGTTAGCGAGACGCGGGTGCTCCGTTGCTTCAAACTGGACGGCACTGTCACAGCATCAGGTGAGATATTTCATAAGTTAGCTGATTTGTCTGCGTCTGCTTGTACATCTGTGTTTCGATGAGTAAAGCAGTTCCCCATTCACAACTTCAGGTATTTTATCGGCTTAGCACAAACGTAAATAACGCCTGGCTGATTCAGAATGACTGGTGACCGCCACTAAAATTCGCCTGATTTATATTATAAAATTCCATTTTGTCTGAAAGCTGTCACTGGTAGCGAAGCCATTAAAGGAACTAGGAAATAGAAATAGTTTTTAAAATGTTACTAAAAACCCTTGAAATTGCATCTTTAGGTTTCAATTAACCTTATTTTGAATTTTTGTTTGGCATTTTAACCCATATTTTGATGTTTTTTGTTTTGTATGCTAATGATCATTTGCATATTCATAAGCAGAACTATAATGTCATTCAAGGTACTGAATCTCAATGTTGCACTGGTTTATGCACAGAATATTTTAGTATTTTTTAACCACTGCTATGGAAGATTTTATATGAAATCTTCTTCTTTGGCAGTTTATTGCTGTGTAAGTATATGGCAATAATCCAGCAAAAATCCTTTCACAGAAATGTTCCCAAATAGCAAGTTTGGGATTCACAATTTAAAACATGAAAACATGCAACATGAACCATGTCTACCTGGATTTACATCAAAGCAAAAGCGCCCTCACATGTCCAGAAATGCTTGGTCAATTTTTAATGTTCGAAAAAGTGCACCGTTCAGTTCACGTGACTCAAAAAAGATGTCAAACAGTCTTCATACATGGAAGAAGAGTACAGAGATAGCCTACACAAAAAGTGACTCCAAGAAAAATTCATTTTCTGGTTCCTTTTAATTCCTGTTTTTGCCTTTTCGGTTCTTTTTTGAGATCTAACGATCTTATGGTGTTAACCCTCTTCTGTTTTCAAACTAAAAGTGTAATCAAAAGTTGTAAATGGCAAAATTTTGAAAATTGGCTCAAAAAGATGCCAAACTTTGTTACATGTGAGAGTATATGATTTTCGATACTTTAACGGAGATACACAATGGCAAAAAATGGCTTGGAATTTTGGATTTTGAGGAAAAGATTGGCCGCGTGCTTACACCTGCAGTTTTAGAATAGTCAGAATCCTTCCATCTCTGTCCTGAGTGTTGTGTTCTCTGCATATGCATTTAGTATCATAAGGGGGCGTTATAAAGCCCGGCTCACTGCGCACAGACGGTAAACAGGAGAGACCTTGCACTTTGGTATTTTCGTCACCATGGTTCCACAAAGGGACGCCATGTTAAAAGTTGCCTCTTTCTGGTGGTTTGCTTCTTCCTCTTGTTATCTAGCTTTAATATCCTAATTCCTTATAACACTATTCTGCCGTGCTTCCGGGGACCGGCATACCACTGTTTGCATTTGGCGTGTATTTAATGGAAGGGATACGGAAAATGGCTGGAGTAGGATCACAGATATTTTTCCCCTGCAAAAGAAGGGACTCCAACTCTGTTACATCCCCAGCCACACCTGCGTCAACATGGATACACTATTCGTCTGAAAGGGGGGAAAAGTAGGCCAACCGTTTTGACGAAGAGACAGGATTTATTCTTGTTTGCATATGGCGATCCAAAGATGTGTCCCTGTGAAGACAATTAAAATTGAGCTCAGCAAGCGTATCGTAGCAAGGCTGTTTGGATGGGGGACGTAAAAAAGGCAAATCAGCATCCTTGCTGAAATGGCACATTTTAACTTGAATATTTTTCTTCGTCGCAATCAGACAAAGAGAAGACCACAGAGGTGAACGATGTGCTTCGTGGCTGTGATTGGGTGCCGTCTGAAACGCCCGAAAACCAATGCTTCACGACCGGCGTCGATGGTGTGCCTCTGGATGAAGATTCCTTCACCGTAGGATCGGTCACGGAAACCTTCGACACCTACACGCTTTGCGTCTGTAACCATGACAGCTGTAACGGGGTTGACTTGGTGCGGCCGCCCGTGTGCCTGCTTCCGTTCGTTGTGGCTTCTGCAGCCGTGCTGACTATCGTAGACTCAGTCTAACGTAAAAAAATAAAACACTCAAAGGGTCCTGGCGATTACCTTTTCTTACATTATGCATTTTTATGCATCTTTATTCTCCTCTCCGCTGTGTGACATGAAATGCCTTTTGGATCACAATCATGTATTGAAAGTGCACTTTTTATACTTATTAAATTTGTTCATACTCTTTAACAATCGAGGGGCTGTTGTTGTGACATCAAGCATAGAAGACACGGTTAATTTGTCACGGACTCAATAAACACTCACACGCAAGTGGGTGTCAGTTCGTGAAAAAACACGCTATCCACAACTGCCGTTTTACGAACTAATACCCGGTACTAATACCCGGTACTGCGCGCGCAAGTCCTGACACTGACGCAACTGGAATAAGTTACGTTTTCACGGACTGACACCCAAGCAAGTTGTGGCAGTGAAGTACGGAGAAAAAGCTTTCAACGATGTACTTGTGGCCTTAAACAAAATTTAAGTAGAAACTGTTTTAACCCGTGAAATTAAGATCATTGTTAGTTTATGAAAACCAAAACGTACGGAGAGCCCGCTGGAAGTGTTGCAAAATATGAAAATAACCCGATTCTCTAGATACGAGCACATGCGGCGCACTCTGCTTAACCGGGTGGCTGTTTGTGGCGTCGGTGACGATTTTTGGTTTTCTATTGAAATTATAAAAACCAAACGTTACTCCTTGCAAATATCTCCTTTGTGAATGTGATGCTTATAAGTTTACCGATGTGCCCTAATCATTACATGATAATGAATCAACCAAAAAAGGTAATTTAGTCCTGCAGTTTGAAAACCTTTTAGGATATTTGTGTACGAATCACTGCAGCATCAAAGTTTCCTCCAGGGATGAGGGTCCAGTTTTGGTTATGAAAATATTCATTAACAAAAACACGAACACAAAGGTAGCAAAATGCCTAACAAAACCAAAAGTTGAATTTCAGGTTAATAGACACAGTTATTGAAGGGTCGTGTAAAAACTGAGTGCGTGTTGCAACCTCTAAACGAAGCTAAAGAGAACCCGAAGTCCCAGATATGATCTTGCATTGCTGGTTTTCCATTTTTTGCGGACAAACTATATAAATGTGTAGAAACTTAGTAAAATAGTAGTTGATAGGTACTGCACTTGTGCCCGTTTTCGTGAAGCCGAAGCTGGTTAGAATTTTTGTATTGTTTGTGTAATCTTGCTAACACTCTCTAGAATTGGAAGAAGCTTAACATTCCGTGTTCCAATCTTTAACGCCAGTGTTGAGTGTTCAGTTTTTTCAGCAAGGTTTTGAAACATTTTTTTGTTAAATCATAACGTCAGAGTGGAACGCAAAATTCTTCTTTGAATTTAGTTATTGCTAAGTCGAAATGATAAGTGGTCGATCTCTTCAACACTTCATTCATTTAATTTCTTCAGATTTGAATGGGACTTCATCTCACCCGTGCGTAATGTAAGGACTGGGTTAATATTTGTTCGATTGATTTCAAGAATGTTTCTTTTAAAATTCATACAAACATTTTGTAGGATACGGTCAGCGAAGACAACGACATTCAGGTTGCCAATGACTTCCTATGAATGAAAGCGCAATTGAATGTGTTCGTTAAGTTACGTGGACGAGCGTAAGAGTTAAGAGACCCCCTACTCTGTATTATTGCTTTTGTTGAATAATAATGAGCCAGCTCGGTATCTCTTAAAAGCAAGGTCATTTGGGAAAATGCACGCGCGGTCTGAACGCATTTAATTTTGGGCATGCGCTGCTGTGATACTGAGCTGGTTCTTTGCAGACGTTATTAAAAGGTCAATACGGTGCATTCACATGTACACCACCATTTGTCTAAAGTAAAGTTCTATACGGTTGTGATTTATCATCAAAACATTATTGCTTGTACAGGTATGTGACATAGCAATAGAAATAGTTTGCCAAGCTTTTGGGCGATAGTTTCGTCGGGGCTACAATGCCTATCCGCCTATCAGAAGTACCCCCTCATCGGTTGAAAGGAGCCACTGTGTTGGTTTGAAGTGTTCATTTTGTTGGTAGTGATGTGACCATAACGCGTTCATTTCACAGTCGTTCGTGAATCAGCGAAGTTCAGTTCCGACCATAGGAGTCTCCATTGCTAAGAAAATCGCTTCATCTATTGGTCCAGCTCCAGGCTTATAGAGATTGCGCATTATACTTTTAAATCGACCGGAATTTGAGTTTGGTTTTCGAAATGGAAAGAGAAACGTATGGTGTGATTTCAGCGCTAGATTTCATCAAACACCGCACCCCATAAAGCCCAACAGTTATATGAAGGAGTGCCAATTGTAGGTGTCGAATAAGCAGGCAAAATTTTGAATGTTCTCTGAACGGGCGCGAGCATTTTGCAATTCACCAGCGCAGGGGGAAGAGGCCTGTAACCCGCGCGTTTACCACTTGTCTGCGAGCGTTGTGCCGCGCCATTACATTAATTTTGGATGCGATCTTGCAGCTACCTGTAGCCGCTCTCTGTTGCGACCCAGGATACAATACCACGCATACACAATTTTTGTACTTTTAGGCTTACTGGTTTGATACACCAGCTGCTATTAACAATTGAATATAAATGTCCAACTCACGTGATAAATGCACCTACACCGCAAAATTGCCAGGGATAATATAAATCTGAGGTACATTTCAGATAAAAGCGCCAATCACAAAACAACGAATTTGGTTGTGCCAGCCCGAATGGTTGCTTGGAGGCCTGTTGTTTTTCATAAAAATGAAATTTATTCCACCCCAAACAATCGAGTCGGCTCAAGTTGGTGTCAGGTTTGGTTTTTTGAAGTTTCTCCCTTTCCTTCAGGTAAAACTCTTATTTATCCCCCAAATTAAAACTTGTCTGGTCCCCCAAACGAGTGCCATGTTATTTTTTTCAAAATTTGATGCCGTAAAGGCTGGCACTAATCGAGTTACGAATTACTTACATTTTTCTCTCCATTTCGAATGCTAAGCTATTTGATGGTCATGAACATTTTTAATTTTTTGCTCTAACACATGTGCAGAAATTTAGCAAGCTTCTTAATATCTGTATGTCATGCATAAATAAAACAAGATTGAACAATTGCCAGCATGTCTTAATTGTACTTGGTATGTCTTCGGTCTTATTTTTTTCTGTCCTGTAAAGTGAAAGAGCCTTCCTTTTTTTCCTTGAAGTACACCAATCTCTTTTTGTCACTATTTTTCTTATGTTAGTCTGTTTTCACGAGAAACGAAACAAACAACGTTAGTGGAAGACAAAGGAAGCAACGAAACTGAAAATTGATGGCCATTCATTTAATCGACGAGATGACTCCGGCACAATGGTTTAAAGGTTTCGATGTCACAGAAGATTTTGCAATGCATTGATCTCACCAAAATATAGCGGCTACCACTGCTCGGAGTGGAGTTTACAGAGAACGGCGTGCTGGCCGAGCTTTGAAGATCGCCTTCAGTGGTTTTTTTTTTTGGGGGGGGGCGCTCGAAACGCAATTTTTGCGGCGCACTGCTCCACTTTCTGCAGCCAAAATGAAGTCACTGCAGTGCAGAAAACAAAGATATAATTTTGACGTAATCGACTGCTCAAAACCGTATCTGGGTGTATTTTCAACGCATTGCTCGTTTTTTTCCCTATCAGTGTTCATTTGCAATTTTTCTTTTCTGGAGGCCTTCTTTTCAGTCAAATAGACCGTTTTCGAAGCTCATTTGAATCACACATCTCACAGCTTTTCTTTGAAATTGAACCATCGGTGCCAACACCCTACCTAGGATAGAGGAAGAAAGTTCAATATCGTCGGCTTGTGAACTTAATGGCTGTGTTGCCACGAAAGAGTAACCCACCTCTCTAAGAGTTTACCAGGACGTTCACCACAACTATACGTTTTGAAAATAGAGATTGGGTGGTTGCACTTCATTAACTTATTGCTTAGGTTTAATTCTAACCCAAATGACGGTTTAAAAAGCCATTACCCAAATTGGGATGGTTCAACACTATTTGTGACATTGAAATTTGATTATATTTTGTTTTAATTAAGCATTCTGTTAAGATTCATTCGTTTTGTGATTTAGAATGAACCAGACATTAACTTAATTCTCCATTTTTTTTAAACACAGTCCCTTAAATTTAAAGCAGGCAAGTTTATGGCTTTGCGAGTGCTGTTTATCCCCAATTATGTGCGACAGCAAGGTTTATAGATTAACTTGTCCTCGTCCCCAGTTTTACCTCCAATTTATTTTTAAACACAGTCTCTTAAATTTAAAAATATAGACAAGAATATAATATAAAATCTGTGCTTTGGAATATGTGAAAGTAAATTTGTATTGAACACATAATTGAACTGTAAAAAGAAACAGATATATCTGTACTGTATTTAACTCGAGCCTGTTCTCTACACGCAACGATTTTTTAAAAACTATTTCCAATGGCATCCACGTTCCTTCACATTGTTCAACAGAGCCACTATGATTTCGCAGCGCATTGAGGAATACCTCTCCAAGTAAAGGGCTTCGCGGATAGGTTACTTTTTGGACTGGACCTGTGTAAGCTCGAAGAGTTAAGTTGGTGTCAAATCAAACACTTTCGTGCTTTACCCGACAGTGAACGCGGGCGAGTAATCGATCACACTGTAGTGTAGAGAGCCGCTATCGACGAAAATAGAACATGACGTAAATAACCTCTGCAGTACAGCTATTTGAGAATCAGTGGAATTATATGTGCACATTTTAACATGTCGGTATAATGCACCCGTCCTCTGCAAAGTGACGACAACCATTAAAAAAATCAGAAAAATTTCAATTTTTTTTTAAATTGTGCGGCGACATCAGAAAAAAAGCAATTCATGCATACAGAAACGTGTAAACAACGGCAAAGCTTCGACCGAATTAAGACCTTTGTCGTAAATGAATCCCTCCAGATTTGGCCAGTTAAAATTGGGGGCCCTCTACTGGGCCTAACGATTTATCAAGACAAATCGATATTTTTGAATCTGTGTGCAGGACTATGCTGAATGGAAATATGACAGCAAAC